CGTCATGGCAGACAACAAGGTGGTGCGTCGACGTGCATGACGCGCAACGCGACGCAAGCGACGCCGCGCGACAACGACGTTGCCAACGAAGCTTCGCAGAGTAGTGGCAAACAGCGACGCAATCATGGTGGTCTTCATGCGAGGTAGAAGTGCAGGATCTGCTATTCTGGCTTCCATTTTCCCCCACATCCAAAGTGGGGTTCTTGTTTTCTCTGGACACCCCGCGCAGGAACAGGAACCCACCATCATCATCACCATCACTCATTCCTCACTCACTCACTCACTCATCATCCCTCACACACGCACACACTCACTCACTCACTCACTCACTCACTCACTCACTCACTGACTCATCAGCACTCACATATGATGATGAGTGTGCGCGTGAGAGAGTGTGATGATGATGATCATCATCATCATATCATCATCATCATCGCCAGTCAGTCAGTCAGTCAGTCAGTCAGTCACTCACTCACTCGCCTTGGGCCTCGTCTGTGAGTGAATTATGAGGAAGTCTCAGGCGGGGGCCCCTCGCTATGGGGCCCGCGGATTATGTTACTAATCCGAGCGGGGCATCCAATTCCTGTAACAGTCGTCGTCATTTTTGGGCTCTCGCGCTGCCAGAACGCCATTCCCAGGCCACATTTGTGAGTGAATTGCGAGGAAGTCTCAAGCGGGAGCCCCCTCCCTATGGGGCCCGCGGATTATGTTATTAATCCGAGCGGGGCATCCAATTCCTGTAACTGTCGCCACTTTTCGGCTCTCGCGCTGCCAGAACGCCGTTCCCAGGCCACGTTTGTGAGTGAGTTGCGAGGAAGTTTCAAGCGGGAGCCCCCTCCCTATGGGGCCCGCGGATCATGTTATTATTCCGAGCGGGTCATCCAATTCCTTCAACTGTCGCCGTTTTTGGGCTCTCGCGCTGCCAAAACGCCACTCCCAGGCCACATTTTGAATGCCTGGAGCCAACTGTAGGCCACTTCGTGTTCTTCGTGCTCCCAGAACACCACTCCCGGGCCACATTTTGAATGCCCCGAGTCAACTGTAGGCCATTCCGTGTTTGTCGTGTTCCCAAAACATCATTCCAGGGCCAGTTTCTGAATGTCCGGAGCCAGAACAGGAGGGCGAGGTCGGGGGCAACGTAGGGAGCGGGGGGAGGGCCCGCGCCAGGGCGAGAAGAAATATATGCAGAAGAGACAGCCGGGACGCCTCACCAACCACGAGGACGACGGTGAGGGCTTTTTCCAGATTCGCCCAGAGGATTCTCATGCGGGGTCCTTCCGTCGGAGTAATTCCAAACCCGTCTTTTATCCCTCGACTTCTCGCTTTGTGCAATGTCGCGGCATCGTTTTATGAGCGGGCGGATGGCAATTCTTTCTTTCACAGGTTATGTATGTGAGTTTCATTCCTCATGCATTATTTCAGTAATGTTGAACCTGGTTTATTGTTGCCAACAATTCTCGGGCGTTTCGGCCCCGCCTTGCGGTGCCCGCGCGGCGCATGATGCAGGCCTTTGTCCGATGACTGATGCCGGAGCTCTGCTTGGTTTTTAGGGACTGCGGCCTCACGCGCCTTGCCCGAACGGGCACAGGTACACTCGCTTCGACGCATGGGCATGCACCGACTCCTCGCTCGTTTGTTCTTGACCGAGGATGAACCTGGCCAGGACCCGTGGAAGGGGTATAGCTGGCGTTCTCGTACTTCGCCATGGCGAAAAAAATTGTCCAGATGGTGGAAGTGGGCCTTGGGGTTTTCCCTCGTCCTCGGGCTCTGAGGGGCCCTCTTTCGGCCACGGGGAAGTCGAACAACAGCTCTTGCTGGAGAGTTGGTCCCGGGGGAAGGCGGTCCAGGGCCCGATTCCCTTAGGACCCGCTCCCTTCAAGCTTAACTTCTCAACTTCCCTCTTGCACGATTGAAATGGGTGCGGACAGAATTGGGGCGAAGATTTACAGCAGACCGTGTGCATTTTGAAATCGGTTCGCTGTTGGCGTCGCTACGGACGGTGTCCGTTCGATGCAGTGAGGCGCTTGTTCAACATAGCCCGCTATCTGCTTTGGACAACATTTGCTGTTGGCCATCGTGCCCACGTTTTCCACGCCCGCTTCGGGCGTGTCAACTCCTTCCCGCCGGTCCGTGCCGCGCGCCCCGCGAGCGCGCGCCGCGGCCGGCTCTCGACGGCGCCCCGCTCGCCACGGTGCCGGGGCCGGCTGTGCCCCGTGTGCTGAGAGCGCCGGCGCGCCCCGCCTTTCGACCGGGCCCCGCGAGCCTCCGCGGCGCCAGGCTCGGCTGCGCCCCCGTCTCTGCCGCGCCCCCGTGTCCGCCGCGCCCCCCGCGGGGGCCGCCGCGCCCGCGCGCGCGCGCCGCGTGCCTGCAGGGCGCGCCGTCCACCAGCAGAGCGCGCGCAGCCGCGCGGCTGCAAGCTCCCAGGGGGGAAAAGCCGCAGCGGGGGGGGGGGGGGGGAAACTGCCGATGCGACGGGGGGGGGAGGGAGTTCCGAGTTCGG